AGGTCAGCAGTAACTAAAATGTGTCCATTGGATTTATCAAAAACATAAAGAGACTTTGATTTCAAGGTCTGGTAAGAGCACAGTCCAGACTACAATGGACTTAGAGATGAAAAGAAGGTAAAGAAGTAGGAAAAAAGTGTTAGTCTGTGTAATGTTCCCCACATTCATTATGATACATGGGGTCATGCAATGTGTTCAAGTCCCTTTCCATTCATACATAAACATGTGCAATTCTCAAATTTATACAAATCCACATGCTGGCCTGACCCCATAGTGCAGTGGTTACACACTGCACAGAGGAAGCCAGATGGCTGACAAGGGCTTGAATCCTAGCCCTTGTGGCTTGAAAAACATGCTGGGCATCTGCATGTCCAGAATCCGATGGAATGGAAAATTAGAGGAGAAGGGATTGTTGCAAGACCAAACTGCACTAGGGATGCTTGAATGCATGCTCTCTCTCTCTCTTTCTCCCTCTTACAAATGCCTGCCAGCATTAAAAAAGAAACTATACATGTCTTAAGTCTTTAGTTAGACTGAAAGATTCTAGAGAAAAGATCACGTTACCACCTCTGAATTCCCAACTACCTAGAATGGTCCAGGGCTTGCTATAGACACTCAGTAAAAGCTTGTTGACTATAAATAGTAAAATACTTTATTAAATATATTTAAATCACTTACCATAATAATAGTTGACAAAAACATGCACAGAGAGATGTTCATTTAATTCAACAAGCATGTATATAATGTCTACTATATGCTAGGCACTTTGGCAGGAAGTAGTACTCATATTTTAATGGAGAAAAGGTGTACACAAGCAAATAAATTAGATTCTACAAGTATTATGAAAGAAAAATGTTTTATTCTAATCTTAATGTGCAAGAAGGAATCCATTAGCAGAACACTTACACAAAGATGTTGAGGGCCAGCAGGTGGCGTGATGCTTAAAGGCGCTGGACTCCCACATAACCATGATTTGAGTCCTGAACCTGGTGGTTTGCTTTCTCACTCCCTCCCCCCATTCTGTCCCCTTCTGGTTAAGTTAAAAATAAATAAATGGATAAATAAAGTTAAAATATTTTTTTAAAAAAAGAAAAAAGATATTGATTTAACTTTTTTAATTGAGAGAAAAAATAAAAAGCAAACTATTAATAGTAAAAATATATATTTTTCAGACCAGCTAGGTGGTGTGATGGATAAGGTGGATGAATCCGGTATGGCTGAGTGTACAGTTCAAGCCCAGTCTTGGCAACTTACAAGGCTCACGTGCATGCATTCCCAAAATCCCAAGAGGAGAATAAAAGAGAAGAGATTATTTGCTATGTGGCCATTCCCCTCTGGGGGATGATTTCTCGTTTTTCCCCCTTTCTCACTGTGTCTCTCTCTGGGAAGCGCATGTGTCCTATAGCAAAAACTAAAAAATATATTAACATGAGGCCAGAAAGTGGCATGATGGTTAGGGGTGCTGGATTCCGTAAAAAATATATTAACATGAGGCCAGCAAGTGGCATGATGGTTAGGGGTGCTGGATTCCCACAGGGCCAACTGTGGTTCGAGTCCTGGACCTGGCAGCTTGCTTTCTCCCTTTCCCTCTCTCTGTCTGGTCAAATTAAAAAATAATGATAACTTGAAAAAATTGAATTAAATAAATAAATAATTCTATTTAAAAAATTGAATTAAATAAATAAATAATTCTAAAAAATTAACTTTTTCTTTTCATAGTTTGGCAATAAGGAACAAAAAAAAACAGATCTTTTTTTAAGAATTATTTAACTTTATTTATTTATTTATTTCTATTTATTTAAATTTGACCAGAGAAGGACAGAGTGAGAGAGAGAGAGTGAGAGAGAAAGTGAGAAAGCAAGCTGCTATGTCCGGGACTCAAACCATGGTCGGCCATGTGGGAGTCCAGCACCTGTAACCACCATGCCACCTGCTGGCCCCAGATTGATTATTTCACCTGACCTTTCACATATTTAAGATCACCAGTGCACATATATCTATTTCTGATCTAGATCTTATTGTTACTTATGCCCAAGGGGTGGAAAAAAACCTTATTTAAATAAGGAACAGAATGACTCTGAGCTAGAATTACAAAGAATCAATTGCATGAACCCTCCTCTCTTTTTTATTTAATCTTCTGTAAACTGCATACAGAACTGAAACTATTGGGGAAATAACATGTTTCTTAATTAATCTTTTATACTGTAAAGAAAATAAAAATCAAGACTGTCTCTCGTTCTAAAAGGAAACTTGTCCACTGTGCTATGGTCTAGCAGTGTCTGATTTATTTCATTATTAAAAAATCATAACAGAAGGATTTTGAATGAGCTGCTTAATCTTTATACTCCCTATGCCATCAAATTCTTATTTTTGCTAAATTTACTTCTAGGCTCAGAAAGATTATTCAAGTCATTTTTAATCCTCCTGTTTGTTTACTGAAATATATTTTTCTTCACTAAAAGGATGGAGATAGGATGATGTTGCTGATTATTTTTCATGAAATATGCAAGTAGATAAAATGATTTGTGTGTTGGGCTTTATCTTTTTCTAGAGAAGATTACTGCAGCAAAGTTGAACAAATGAAACAGAGCTGTGGATGGCAGCCTAGGAAAATCCATGACTGCCACTATCACACCACAGCCCCACAGATGTCTCCTCAAGTCTCTCCCTCCCACACTGTGCTCTGCCTGCCAGCTCAGCGGGAATGAATGGTCTCTGCAGAGCAGTGTAAATAGTGCTGCAGACCCTAAAAAGCTGTCACTGAAAACCAAAAGCAAAACTGTCCGTCCAAATATAAATTTTCAAGTTTGGCAGCCAAAAAAAAACCTCTTTATATCCGAAATTTCATCAGAACATCTAGTGGTATGCAGTCCAGAGACTTACTCTGCATAATCCATCCTTGCTGATAATGGAGTCTTTCTGAACCGCAGAAGAATGTTACCGCAATCCATTTTCTAGTAGAAAAAGCAAAGTCTTTTTGTCCCAAGAGGCAATTGAGCAACCACCACAGTCTCTAGTTGAATAGCAACGGTGTGTGGCTGGCAACAATTCCCACAGTTAGAAGCCCAACCCTAGAGAAGGATATTTACCGTATTCACAGAAGAACTACATAAAAATTAAATACAGTTACTGAACTGACATTGCATAATTCTCTCTGATGGAGGCAACATTAAAAAGCAGTCTTCTCTTTTACACTATATAACTCTCCTCTTCTTTTTAATTTGGTTATTATTGTTTTTTCTTGTTACTTTCCAGAAAAGAGAACAATGCAGAAATATAGCTGAATGCATAGGCAGTAGTAGCTGCAGAACTCAATAAGTGATTTCTCCTTGTATTTTCCCAATTCTGTATCAGGAAAGATTATTCATTTCTAAGGACAACACAAAATTCTATTACACCAATTTCTGGTAAAAGACTATCTAAAGTAAACTATTTAATTACTGTATGTTCATTAGCTCTTAAATATTGCTGTTAGAACTACTTAGTATGCTTCCTTGTCTAGTATGATTAGTGTTTCCATTTTGCAAGATTTTATTAATTTTTTTCCCATCTTGAAATATTTGGGGGGTAATATATGCAAAAGAATGTCCGAAAATAAATGATTTGAAACTGAGAAATCATTTTTGATGACTCGATTACTAAACCCTTTTTGAATTTGAAGTCACATTTACCCAAGCCATTTCGAGCAGCACTCCCATCTTCTCTCCTACTTTATTTTTTAAAGTAATTAGACATGCTAAAATAAATTATTTGAAACTGAGAAATCATTTTTGACTCGATTACTAAACCCTTTTTGAATTTGAAGTCACATTTACCCAAGCCATTTCGAGCAGCACTCCCATCTTCTCTCCTACTTTATTTTTTAAAGTAATTAGACATGCTGAATCCTGACTGAATGTAATAGAGTTTAGTATTTTAAGAGGAGTTATGTTCCATATTTTATCTCAACACAAATTCTGTGACTAAGGGTAGGGAAAAACCTAACAGGATGATTCTAACTGCAGTTTGAGGTTTAAGCAATATAAACTACCCAACTCCAGTCTCTTTCTTCCCTTTCCGCCCCTCCCCAACCCCACCCCATCATGGATGCTCGACTGACTGCTTTTGCACGGTCTCTTTGTCTGAAGGATGCAAACAGTCTATGGATGCTAGGGAAAAGGGGGTGGGGGAGAGATTACCTCATCCCATGTCGCTTGCACCAATCACCACTCTCCTGTCGTGGCTTCTCTGGGCAGATCGCAGGGTCTGGACCAACTGGAAAAGGCCCCGGCCCATCCCCATGGTGACTGAGTTGTATATAGGGAGCCGCATCCGCCCATGTGCCGCAGGTTCTCTTACATCGACCGCCTAAGAGTCGCGCTGTAAGAAGCAACAACCTCTCCTCTCCGATTCCACTATCTCCTCCGCAGCAGCGAAGTAGCAACCATGGTAAGAATCTTTTTTCTCTGGCCCTTTGTTTCCATTGGGTGGAGTCAGTCCTCCAGGGTCTGACTTAAGGTTTCTTAAAAACCTTAAGTTCTTTTGTTTCGGGTAAGAGTGATCTTCTGCATTGTTTGTGAGGTTTAGCTTTGTCTGCCCAAAATCTGTAAGCTCCGCCGCCGCAGTGCGGGTGCGGGAATTCAACCAGAACTGCGCCCAGGACGCAGCAGAACTATGGGGAAGAACAAAGGCGGCGCAATATGAGTTCGTGTTATCCGAGAGCCCTTCCGGGCCGCAGCCAGCCAGCCTGTCGTAATGAGAGTCTGGGACTGGGAAAGGCGATGGTTGTGTCGCCTTAGTCCTCGGTGTGTACGCACTGCATTTGTGTGACTAGGAGAGGCTCTTTCCTGTCTCGCTTCTTTCCCCAGAGGCAGGGACAGAAGTCGTCCAACAGAACTAGAGGGCGGTGTGTGTAGATAGGGGGATTGCGGAAGTGGAGAGGACAGGGACAAAGCGGAGCCTTGGGTTAATATAAAAAGATCCCTATAGGACTCGCTGGCTTTTTAGAAAGATACCCATATATTAACGGGGAAAAACAGTTTCTGCTAGAGCCTTTGGCAGCCTGTGTCTTGGCGGCGCGGGGAGGAGCTGTTTGTTTCTCTCTTCCCTGGCGTTGGAGCCACTGGGCGGGGTTCGTACGACCTCACTAAACCTCCTGTCAGGAGGACTTAAAAGCCTTTCATTACTGTGGAACTGTAGGCTTCAAAAGGTTTTTAATTCACTGTTAAAAATTAAATGATTTTTTTTCTTGTGGTGCAAAATCATAATTTACTTGACAAGATCTTTAATGTCTGATTCGGGAGGTTCCGCCCTGACAGACTAGATTGTGTTTGTGTGTGCGCACGTGAGCCTTGGCCAAACGTTCAGCGAGGGTGAAAGCCCACTTTGTGAGCTCCGGGGTACCCTAATGGTCTGGACCCAGGGAAACGCCCTTCCCCGCCCCCCACGCTAAGCCAGTGAATAGACAATGAAGAGACAATGAAAGCTGTCACCCTAAAGATCTTGGAGAAGAAAATCTCTCTTGAATGCGAAGAGTATGAATAATATGTGGTGGGTAGAGAATGAAAACGTTATTTTGTTGTTTTAAATATTTCATTACTCTTTCACAAGGCTTTTATACATTGTTCGGTAAATTCTAATGTATTTGTTTCTAACTTAGGAACTGTTATTTTAAAGCCATGTACTAATAATTTTTCAATCTTTTACAAACGCTTTTTAGAAAGTAATCAAATTGCTGCAAACAAAGAAGAATTGTACTCTGTATCCAGCTATCTTTTGTTCTAGTGCATCTTCATTAATTCATTTCAGTTCAGGCACATGGTCCCAGGCTGGGTCAGAGAAGGAAAACTGGCAAAACAGCACAATGAGATCATGTAGGCAGTTGCTGGAAATAGAGCTTTCTCTGTTAAATAATGTAGCAGACAGCACAGGCTAGCACCAGGCACAGCAAATACAGCAATGCAGCAATGGAGGAGGCAGACCTTGTCCAGCTTGTAACTCCCAAGAACTGATGGATTCTGCAGATAGACTGCAAAAGGGTGTGGCTTCTAGCCTTAGCTGCAGTACCAATGTCCATATTGAAATACCAACTCATCTTTAGAAGAAACCGTCCTCTTTGTTTAAATGAGGAAAGAAGCAGTGAGGTTAACTACAATTAATTATTGGATTTACTTTATTTAACAAAATCTGTGCTTTGAGTATTTTTTCAATATAAAAAAATTTCTATTCAAGAATGGCTATGGGAACAATGGGCTTGTTCCATGTGCTAAACAGCACCAAGGTGACATTATTATTCAGACCACACCCATCTGCAGCATTTATAGCAGGTGCTTTTCCTAAATAATTATGTTATGAATATTGATTTCAAATAATTTTGAAGAATACCTGCATATTACTAGAAATAATTTTTAGAAATTTACTGAAAATTCAAAATGCTAATACAGCTTAATTTTTATAATATTCTTTACCTTCCCACAGCGTGAGTGCATCTCCATCCACGTCGGCCAGGCTGGTGTCCAGATCGGCAATGCCTGCTGGGAGCTCTACTGCCTGGAACACGGCATCCAGCCCGATGGCCAGATGCCAAGTGACAAGACCATTGGGGGAGGAGATGACTCCTTCAACACCTTCTTCAGCGAGACAGGCGCCGGCAAGCATGTGCCCAGGGCCGTGTTTGTAGACCTGGAACCCACAGTCATCGGTGAGTTGACCTCAGTAACCCAAGTGAGATCCAGGGTGCTGAGACAGGAGGTCTGACCTGGGGCTCCACTGCACACACGCGCACACACACACTCACTCACTCACTCTCACACGCTCACAGCCAGGGTTAAGCAGACTTGTACAGGCTGTTAGTGATGGGTGGCGGCTTTGTCTTCCTTTCCCAGATGAAGTTCGCACTGGCACCTACCGCCAGCTCTTCCACCCTGAGCAGCTCATCACAGGCAAGGAAGATGCTGCCAATAACTATGCCCGCGGGCACTACACCATCGGCAAGGAGATCATCGACCTCGTCTTGGACAGAATTCGCAAGCTGGTATGTTTATTCTCAACAATTAAATAAATTAATGAACCTAAAAAAGATATTTAAAACAATGCTTTTTTTTAAACACAGAATTAAAATGTAATAAAAAGATTAATTTTATTCCTTAAGAGTTTATCTTTTTTTTTTTTTTCCTATAGGGCATGTTCACCTGTCAGAGAGAGAGAAAATAAGAAAGCACCCCCTAGGGTGGATAGCCACACCACAATCCCTCCTCCATTCTCCTTTCAGGATTTTGGATGTGCACACACTATGGACCCTGCTTGTTTTTCAAGCCACCAGATCTTGGACTCAAACCACACAGGTGGTTATATGGGATCCAGCCTCTCTAACCAATGTGCCACCAGGCCCTAGGATTTTGTTTGTTTAATTCAGTTAAAACATGAACTATTTGGTGTCATTTTATAAATATTAATAAGGAATTTTAAAAATTAAGAAATGCTGAGTAATTTCAGAAGGTCTATACTTTTTAAAAAGAATTTGTTGGGGCAGGTGGCATGCTGGTTAAGGTTCTAGACTTCCACATGGCCAACCATAGTTCAAGTCCTGGACCTGATAGCTTGCTTTCTCACACTCTCTCTCTCTGGTCAAGTTAAAAAATAGCAAATAAAATTAATTTAAAAAAGAATTTGTCAAAATAAGAGCTAAATGTATAAAAATGGCAATGTATAAAAATAAAAATATATTTGCTATGACCTATCACCAAGGACAAATACTTATCTTTTCTCTATGTTC